GAGCGGACGGGGGAGGGCGGGGAGTTGTGACGTAGACACTGCTATATATATGTGTAGGGGTAGGAGTTAGGTTAGTGTGAGGTAGAACCCACAAAGTGTACATGTACCTGTGATCATCTGTAAAGAACAAGAGTTATTAAAGCCTAATAACGAGAAGCCTGTTTCCGACTCACCTTGTGAACGTTACAATATTGTGTTGTTTTGTTTATATATAAATAATTTTGACAGCACATTTTGACAGCACATTTTGACAGCACTAATATATATATATATATATATATATATATATATATATATATATATATATATATATATATATATATATATATATTAGTGCTGTCAAAATTATCGTGTTAACGGCGGTAATTAATTTTTTGAATTATATTTATATTTATTTAACGCATTTAACGCATGTGCAGAATGGCCCGCCCCATAGTGCCACCAGTGGCAGCGCCATGGTATGGCTGGGGTAGGCTACACCCATACCAAGAAATGGCTTAGCCCCACCATGACAAATTATGTTAAAGTAAGCAAAATAAAGTCTGCCAACTCGCGCGGAGTAAATTGCACAGACAGCCGTTAGTAAGATTGATTTCAGTAGCCACGGTTTTGAAAACTTTTGTCACGTAGTGATCGTCTTCTCAATAGAACATCTTTGATAACGGCGTGGCGTTGTTGCAGGAAGTCCCGACGGAGCATACTTTTGCTGTAGTACAGGGGTGCACATAACTGGTACGCAGGTTATGTGCGTAATCTCTCTGAAATGCGTACCGTCACTTGTGTCACAAAGCGCATTTGCGTACCGACGTACTTGTGAAGCTTTTCCAGAAGGCGGTTAGATCACCGGACGACAGAGTCGGTCTCCGTGTGCACAGATAGGGCTGCTGTTAACGTCGGTCTGTAGTCTACAACGGAATTGTGCCAAAACTACGCCAACCGGCTCCCCCCCTTCACTGGAAAACTGCGCTGAAACAGCTGATCGTTCACACTTTATGGTCACTCCACTAGCCGCCGCCGCCGCCCCCCCCTCTGTCGACTTTCCTGAAGTACTCCCCCGTTGATAGAAATCAACACGTAATGAATTAAGACCCCACGGTTTGATGATTGATACTGTGTGTGGGTTGTCTTTCATTTTGACACGCAGACAAATGTTATAATAAACATAGATAGGCCTACTGTATGTTAAATGGATATATCCGCCTTCTTTCATTTATCTTTCCATTCCCACAACAATATACATAAATAAATGGCATATTTTGGACATAGTTCGAATGGTGATTAATTATGATTAATTAATTTTAAAGCTGTGATTAATCTGATTACAATTTTTAATCGTTTGACAGCCCTAATATATATACGTATGTGTGTGTGTACAAATTAATTAATATAAAGTGTATATATGTGAGTGTGTGTATAAATGAATGAATACATCTGTGTGTATAAATGAATAAATACATGTGTGAGTACATTTATGTGTATGTTTGTATATATATATGTTTATAAATGAATAAATGTGTGTGTATATATATATTTATAAAATAGTATCATTAAATAATGCTGTCAGATAAATGAAGTACACAGTAATAGTCAAGGTTATATTCAATATTCTGCACTTACACCAGCTGATAAGATATTTAAAACGTCTTTTGTTTGTCCTGAAAAGACATTTGAGGATACACACAGGCTATTTATAGATGATAAAACACCAGTAATACAATCTCAGGACTCTTCGATATGGCTTTGATTACAGGATCGTTTACTTTCAGTTAACAAATCCATTGGAAAGACAAAAAACAACTATTCAATATCCTGCTTTACCGCAAACGCTATAACTGCCGAAGAAGAAGTCTATGACGCTATCGCGTAGAGCTACGTCGATCCTTGCATAATGCGGAAGTGGACGTGGTTAAATCTAAACTGGGTTGGAAAAACGATAGACGCGGGCATGATGCCCCGGCCATACGAGGACGAAAACGGCTAAACGCATAGGATTAACGCAATCGCAAAAAAGCTTCCGTCCACACGCAATAGTCATCCGGATAGTGTCTGTCCCCTATGGTCTGTCCACACGAGACAGCTCCATTTAGCTCCAACCAGCCTGTACGTGGCGCTGTAACTTCCTCCACAAAAGCAGCGAAGAAGCATGGTTGTCATGGTTGCCCTTCTGTTTATTCTCCGCGGTGGGGGCCGAGGGAACCGGGCAGAGTTTTTCGCCAGTCAACGTGTATTACAGTTTAAATCTTCCGACACAATTATAAAAGTGCCGGTCAAAGGTCTTCTTTGTTATTTATTGAGCTTTAAAACAAATGAATAACGAATCTATATAATATAATAATAAAATACACGGAGCCTCTCTTTTTCCTCCCTCTCTTTGGACAGCGCCAGTGTCTGTTTCATGCAGCAGCTGATCCAGTAATAAGTGACCCGGCCGACAGTAAAAATAAACATATTTATAACTAGTTTAGGTAGTTTGAGAGGTGTGTCCGTCCTGTCAGATTAGACTTCACTCGCGTTTATGTCCATATCGAGAGAAAGATAAATAATCTGAATTCAGTGTGCAGTTTAATTTGACGCGGGGGTTAGCAGCAGAGGTGGGGAGAGGCGGGGCTATTGCCTCATCATGATCAGAAAATGATCGTATAGGGCGTACACACGGAGCCGCTGGACCCCCCAGAGCGTTGCGTATGCCGTTCTATCCACCTTGGGACCCGTTATCGTTTCCGCAGTCGTTTAGTGCCGTATTCTGTCGTCCTCGTGTGGCCGAACGGTCTATATGACACTAAACAGTAACGCAAACGACCGTTTTCGTCCTCGTGTGGCCGGGGCATCAAATGTGATCAATGTTGGCCAATTAACTGAAATACTAACCGTTTTATGCAGATATTTTTTGTTTTGAAGGTACAGTATTTGTGTAAACAAAATAATGAATAGACTTAGGCCTTGATGATTTTGTTAGATGTAGGAAACAATGTTTATTTCTCTGTTTAAAGGTGGGGTAGGTACGTTTCAGAAACCGGCTCGAGTGCACTAAAATTTGAAAGTACACAGCCGAAAAGAATCCGCCCCTTCAGACTTCCTTACAGAGCACCTCCTCCAACACACATGAACGTGCACATGACGTCAGCAGACTGGTGAAAGTGGCCGCCTGTTGCTGGCGAGTCATTGAAGTACTGCTGCAATGCACGCCCAATAACGGCACGCCCAATGAGGGCACGAGATACATTTGTGCGTGCACGAGATGGAAGGCTGACAGACAGGGCGGCAATCCAATCTGCCGGCTAAACGGATTGGTTGTACTTTTTACATTATTACGGCTTCCACAGATGACATTTTTTTATGGATGTTGTGTCAAAGCACTTAAGATATTCATTGCTATCGGGATGTTAAGAGCATTCAATGGAATGTAACAAAAAGTGTATCTCGAGCCGGTTTCTCAAACTTACCTACCCCACCTTTAAACTACTCACTGTCTAATGTTTTTTGGTTGAAGGCTAAAAATAAAATGCCTATTATTCTTCCAAGAAAACCCTCTCCGATTGTGCAGTTTTATTACCTGCACCTCACATTACAACATCATGTAAAGAGTATGCCGGTACTACGAAGCAGGATTTGTGATTAGCAAGTTAACTTCAGGGTTGTTTAAACAAGTGCCATGAACCTGAGATTGATTCATTGTTTCATTCATTTATTTCGAACAAGTAAAATAAATAATTACAAAACAAATGTTGCAGTGCATAGTCATGTAAGAGAAATCAAAACAAAAAAAGACATTTACAACAACAGCATTAGCAACATAAACAGTGCCACATCTAGTGTTCGAAAAGGAGTGAGAAGAAGTATAATTTATTTAATCTCACCCCCTTGTCCCTAAATGATTTATTTATAATCTATAATCTGCAATAATTATAATTTGTATGCATTATTATTGATATTATTAGTATTATTAATCTACTTTACCTGTTGATTGACATATATACATATACATACATACATACACTGATATACATATATGCACACATACATATACACACCTACATACTCACACATATATACATACACATAGTCAAACACCTTCCCCATCCCTGTACCTTGAGAAAAATAATTTCTCTGTATTTCCTCTTGAACTGGTTAATGTCTGGACATCGTTTTAGCTCCACATTCACACTGTTCCATAGTCTCACTCCACAGGCTGAGATACAAAAAGTTCTTCTGGTTGTACGGACCCTATGAATTTTCGAATTGAAATTGTCTCCTTGAACTATATCCCCCCACTCGTTGAGTGAATACTTTTTGGATGTTTCCTGGTAAAACGTTATGATTAGCCTTAAACACGATTTGAGCCGTTTGGAATTCTACCAGGTCTGTGAATTTTAACAATTTTGACTGCAGGAATAATTTGTTAGTGTGATCAAGGTATTTGGCATTGTGAATGATTCGTATGGATTTTTTTTGTAGAATAGATACTGCATGTATAGAACTTTTGTAGTTATTGCCCCAGATTTCAGCACAGTAATTCAGATAATTAAGACTAGTGAACAGTAGAGAATGCGAAGTTATTTCTGATCTAGAACTTGTTTTACTTTGTTTAGTATGGAAATGCTTCTTGACAGCTTTGATTGTACATGTTTTATGTGTAATTTTCAACTTATTGTGTCATCTAGTATTACCCCAAGAAATTTAATTTCATGGACTCTTTCCATTTCAACCCCATCTATTTGTATTTGCATTTGTGTTTTTGTTCTATGTTTACCGAACAGCATTCATTTTGTTTTACTCAAGTTTAATGATAGTTTATTTTTGTCAAACCATGTTTTTAATTTGTGCATTTCATTTTCTATGTTCTCCACTAGCTGTTCTAAATTCTCCCCAGAACAGAATATATTTGTATCATCAGCAAACAAAACTAGCTTCAGTACATTGGATACTCTACAGATGTCATTGATGTACACTATAAACAATTTAGGGCCCAACACTGACCCCTTTTTTAACAATATTTAATATCTCTCTTTCATCAACTGGTTTAATTTTAATTGAGCAGGGATTTCTCTCCAAAACATCGTCTTGATGTTCCCCAGTTGTTGTTCCCCAGTTGTCCCCAGTTGAGATGTAAACAAATAAATGCAACAAATAATGTCCAGGCTACCTACAAAAAGACAATACAGTCAATCAGCTACAAAATCTATGAATAATACGTTTGACTTACTCAGGACATTGATGACCCTCATTAACATTATGAATGAATGAGTTGTGTTTTTTCTAAAATGTAAATGAAGAACATACTGCAGAAATACTTATGTTTTCCCCCTGACCCATCGTTAACACCTATATAATGGCCATCAAATAATTTCCTCTATGTCGCTTTGCATTTCATAGCTATACATTTGGTCAGTAGGTAGACATGCTATATCCTCAAATACAGGAGCATAGCTGCTAAAAGGAAGGTGTATATTTAAAATATTTCCCCATTGCTCAAACATACTAGAGGGAGCACTCTCAGCTTTATCCTGACCTGCATCAGAGGGACAGGTGTGCTTTAAGAATGTGCTGACAGGTAGGATGCCTTGTTGTCTGAAGCTGCATGCAAACTGTCCACACTCAGACTCCGAGCAGGTGAATGTGCTGTCTGTTTCACTGTCAGAAGAGCCATTGATCAACGTGTGGGACTTGGTAGGTCCAGACCTCAGGGATTCTCGATGTGACATTGTTTTGTCCTGAGGAGTGTTTAGTTTACTAATTTCTTCAAGAGTGAGGCATTGTACAGGATCCAGGAACTCTAGTTCCAACCTCTTCTTGTGACAAAGTGGTGCATACTGTAAATCGATCTTAGTCAACAACTGCTTATTTAAGAAAGCAATATCTTGTGGCTTTGTCTGACATGTTGCCCTCTCTTCACTGGAGTGTTCTTTCTTAAATCCTGCTAACAGTCCCCTCAGATCTCCCCTCTGCTTCGGCTCAACTTTCACACACTTTGTGCTGTACAAATGCTTGTGCCAGCTGAGCGTCAGTGAGGCAGTGTCTGAATGAAGTTCACTACAGATGCTGCCGATTTCATAATACTCCAGCTCATTGTTTGGCACTGGCAGAACACTTGACAAACTTGCATCACTGTAAAACTCCACTTTCAACCTCGGCTGATCTGCCCTTATCGGGACGTTTTGTTTCTTGTTTTCTGCATATGTGAGCGTTCTGTTGTCGTCAAAGCAAAACACTACATTGCCAGTCCCTTGCTCTGTTTTCTGTTGCGAGTTATCAGTCTGACCCTCTGCTTTGTGACGCCTCACTTTGTAAACGGCAAAACAAATTCCTATAATCACAAGGATGGATATCAGAGGAAGAATCAAAGCTAGGAGCCACAGGTGCGCACTGACCTGGGCCTGAGGGCATTGGTTACGGCTCTCTGTTGTAGAGAGGCAGATATCACAGGCATGGTCAGAAACGTTATGTAGACAGACGCAGGATGTGTTCTGCTCAGCACGTCCACACCCACCCAGACGGTTTTGACAGAGTGCAGAGAGACAATGCCCCCTGGCTGTGTCCTCCTCAGAGCAGGGGAGGCAGACAGCTGGAGGGCTGCAGCCCGGTTTGATAAGAGTCGAACTTGGCCTGACTTCTACCATCTCACTGTGTCCACTGACAGGCAGAGTGTAACCGCTCACAGTGAAGTACTGCACACATCCAGTGAACCCTGCATAAAGAGATAAAGACAGAAATGCATGTACGTTTAAAAATACAGGTTGTAATATAAGTGATCTTAAACAGCAAAACTTGGGTGCTTGGTCCTAATTTAAAAAATTTGCTGCAAGTTATTACTTAAATGATGACGAAGCAACAAGAGATAATGAGAAATGACTGTCACGATATTCATGTTATGTCTCTCCCTGTCATGTTTTCCTCCTGGGTTATTGTCTGGTCCTTTTCCCTGTGTTTTTCCTCCTGTTGTTAGTTTCCCTGGTGTGTCTAGTTGTCTGATTGTGTTCACCTGTGGCCCTTGTGTTTCTCCTCCCCTGCCCGGCTGTTTCTCGTCTTGTGATTACCCCTCCCTGTATTTAGTCTTGTCTCTTCCTGTGTTCAGTGTTGGTTCGTCTTTTGTTTGTGACTGAGTTCACCGTGGAGTGTTTTGTGTTTCCATGTGATATGTTCGATAAGAGCCCTTGAAATAAAGGTATTATCAGTATTATCTGCGTTTGGGTCCTACCTGCCTCACTCCCCGTATCAGTACGAACCAACCGAGAAATGGACCCAGCAGATGATCCATTTCAAAGGGAGCTGTATTCATTCACCTGCTTGCTGGCTTGCAGCCATGGTGAATGGAGGGGAGCGTCCGGAGTTCAGCAGCGAGAGGCTGTTTTGGCAGAGGCGCGCCAGATGGCTACGGAGAAACCAGGCTTGGTGAAATTCTTACCTGGCTGGATTTCAAATTTCCTCTCGGTGTGTGATTCCCGGCCTGCTAGCCCCAGGCATGCTAGCTCCCTGTCTCCCAATTCCCAACCTGGCACCATACGCCTCGGTGGGTTCCGTCTGGAGTCAACCCATGCTTCTGCCCCAGTTCCTGCTCCTGTCCAGGAGTCGTTTTCTGGAACTCGTCTGGCTTTTGGAGGTCCACGGAGCCTTCAGGCGGCTTCTAAGAGAAGAAGTCGCAAGTCCAGGCTGGCAGCCCGAGCCCCAAGAGCCATGGTTCCGGCCCTGGTTCCGGCCCCAGCAGCCATGGTTCCAGCCCTGGTTCCGGCCCCAGCAGCCATGGTTCGGGCTCCAGAACAGGCCCCAGCAGCCATGGTTCCGGCTACAGAACCGGCCCACACAGCCATGGTTCCAACCCCAGTTCCGGCCCCAGCAGCCATGGTTCCGGCTTCAGTACCTGCCCCAGTAGCCATGGTCCCGACTCCAGTTTCGGCTCCAGGACTGGCTTACCGGCCGACGCCAGCTCCCCGAGTCCTGTCGGCGTACCGGCCGACTCCAGCACCTCGTCTCATGTTGGCTCTCCAGCCGACGCCAGCTCCCAGAGTCCTGTCGGCTTACCGGCCGACTCCAGCACCTCGTCTCCCGTTGGCTCTCCAGCCGACGCCAGCTCCCCGTGTCTTGTCGGTGTACCGACCGACGCGAGTCCTCTCTCAAGTCCTCTCTCAAGTCCCCTCTCAAGTTTCCTCTCTAGTCCCCTCTCGAGTCCCCTCTCGAGTTCCCTCTCAGGTCCCCTCTCGAGTCTCTTCTCAAGTCTCCTCTCGAGTCCCCTCTCAAGTTCCCTCTCGCATCCCCTCTCGAGTCCCCTCTCGAGTTCCCTCTCGAGTTCCCTCTCGCGTCCCCTCTCGCGTCCCCTCTCGAGTTCCCTCTCGCGTCCCCTCTCAAGTCCCCTCTCGAGTTACCTCAAGTCACCTCTCGAGTTCCCTCTCAAGCCCTCTCTCGAGTCTCCTCTCGAGTTCCCTCTCGAGTCTCCTCTCGAGTTCCCTCTCGAGTCCCCTCTCCAGTCACCTCTCGAGTTCTCTCTCAAGTCACCTCTCGAGTTCTCTCTCAAGTCACCTCTTGAGTTCTCTCTCAAGTCACCTCTTGAGTTCCCTCTCAAGCCCTCTCTCGAGTCTCCTCTCGAGTTCCCTATCGAGTCCCCTCTCAAGTCACCTCTCAAGTCAACTCTCAAGTCTCCTCTCGAGTTCCCTCTCAAGTCCTCTCTCGAGTCCCTACCCAAGTGTTGTTGGAGGCCCCGCCGACTACTCTTCTGTCGGGGGTCCTGCCAACCCTATGTCCTGTGCCGTTGGAGGTCCCGCGGACTGCTCTTCTGCCAGGGGTCCTGCCAACCCTATGTCCTGTGCCGTTGGAGGTCCCACCAACTACTCTTCTGCCGGGGGTCCTGCCAACCCTATGTCCTGTGCCGTTGGAGGCCCCGCCGACTACTCTTCTGCCGGGGGTCCTACCAACCCTATGTCCTGTGCCGTTGGAGGTCCCGCAGACTACTCTTCTGCCGGGGGTCCTGCCAACCCTATCTCCTGTGCCGTTGGAGATTCCGCCGACTGCTCTCCTTCCGTGGGGGATCTTGCCGACACCTGTCCCACCGGCTCCGGATCCTGTCCGGTCAACACCGGCTCCTGCCCGGCCTCCAGAGCTGTCCGGTCTTCGCCCTCGGGCCCGGCCCCCTGAGTGCCACTGTCTTCGCCCTCGAGCCCGGCCCCCTGACTTTCCCGGTCGTGGTCCTCGCCCTCGGACCCGGCCCCCTGACTCTTCCTGCCGCTGCCTTCGCCCTAGTGCCAGGTCCCCTGGGTTCGCCCGCTGTGGTCTTCGCACGTTTTTGGACTCTGCCTTGCCCCCGGGCTGTCCGCCCGAGACCCCCTCCTCGAACTCTGCCTTGCCCCCTTGCCGTCCGCCCAAGACCCCCTCCTCGAACTCTGCCTTTCCCCCGGGGCCGTCCGCCCGAGACCCCTTCCTGGTCCTCTGCCGTGCCCTGGGCTGTCAGTCAAGGCCCGTCCTCCGGACCCCCTCCATCCACCCTGCTGGACGTTTTGGATTCTTTTTTGTTGGTGTTTAGGGACGTATAGTATCCGTCCCTTGAGGGGGGGGTTCTGTTACGATATTCATGTTATGTCACGTTTTTATGTCTAGGTTTGGGTGTTTTGCTGTTCTCCCTGTCATGTTTTCCTCCTGGGTTATTGTCTGGTCCTTTTCCCTGTGTTTTTCCTCCTGTCGTTAGTTTCCCTGGTGTGTCTAGTTTCCCTGGTGTTTCCCTAGTGTGTCTGATTGTGTTCACCTGTGGCCCTTGTGTTTCTCCTCCCCTGCCCGGCTGTTTCTCATCTTGTGATTACCCCTCCATGTATTTAGTCTTGTCTCTTCCTGTGTTCAGTGTTGGTTCGTCTTTTGTTTGTGACTGAGTTCACCGTGGAGTGTTTTGTGTTTCTATGTGATATTTTCGATAAGAGCCCTTGAAATAAAGGTATTATCAGTATTATCTGCGTTTGGGTCCTACCTGCTTCACTCCCCGTATCAGACTGACTATATAGATAGAGATAAGACCCTGATCATCTGAGGATCACGCCCTAAAATGATCTCTTTAGTTTACGCGCAACAAAGATTATCTTTTCCTTCAGATTCGACCTGATTAATCAGACTGTTGGAGCTTTGAATCACCTGTCACAGCTGCACCAAGAATAATCTTTTCCACACGAACAGGAGAGAGATCCATCCTGTGCTCAGTGATGTTTAAGGCTGATGTATTATCTAGAAGCAGAAAGGTAGTCTGTCCGTTGCTGAGCAAAGTGAGGACATGCCACACTCCGTCAGCCACAGGAGAGTCCAGAGGGAACTCTGACTCGTGTCCTGACAGTGTATCTTTGAAAATGTACACAGGCCTTCTGTCTTTTATCTGTATTAGACAGAAGGAACAAGCTATTACACACTTCAAATATATGTAGTAATATATATGTATGTAATCTCTGGATAAGTGTGTTCATGCCTACCTTTAGCATAGAGAATCCTATCTTTTCAACAACAGATATTAAGACCCCATCTTCTTGGGTCTTGAACTTGATTTCAACCACTCTTTGGTCTCTGCTGTTTTCCTCTTTGTTATCATCCAGCAATCCTTTCAGCAGATAGTCTCTCTTGAATCTCTCCTTTATGACATACTCAATGTATTCATTCCCATTAAATCGCAATACAAGCTCCTCTGACATTTCTATTGAAAAAGACAGAACATGTTTAATTTGTATTAAAAATAAGAAAATACATTTCAAATCAGCCCTGGGTATAAAAAGGTATATTTACCCTTAGCACAGTTGCTTCCAGTAAAAATGCTTTTGCACTCACAAATAGAATATGACCAAAGGTCATGGCACACACCGCCGTTTTTACATGGGTTGCTATGACATGGTGATGCTGTTGTCCGAGGACACCTTCATTAAGCAAAAAGATTATGACACAAATCATTTGTGGAAATGTGGACATAAACATAAGTAAACCTCACAGTTTATTCTTACATTGGAAAAATGTATTGTGCATATTAAATTACCTATTAAGGATGTTATATGTTGCTAGAGCCATTGAAGGTCTCAGCAAGATGCCATTCACATGAGTGTTACGAATACATCCAACAAAGTCATGGGTTTTAATCTGACCAGGATGCAGTAAAACAGATTCAAAAGTATTGGTTCCTCCAAACGTCATGTTACTGCCAACATCTAGTGTTCTGAAAAGACATGAGATTAATAAACATCAAATATAACCAACAAATAGGCTGTGTATTGTGTGTAAGTACTGATTACTATCTTACTGCTACCTCTTCAAGCTACTGCCATCACTTTGTGAAAAACAGAATCCAGTGTTCTCTTCATCTGTGCAGTTGTCCACATGCAAAGAACCCATCTGTTAAATGGAAATATTGCTTCTATCAGATTGACTATTTAGATTGACTTCTCTCATTTCAAAATGTAAAAAGCCAACTCATTAACATTGCGTATATGTATTGACATATGTAAAACTCACATTCCCAATCCTCCTGGCAGTGACACTGTGGAAATATCCGTCTGCCACTTGTTTGTTTGTGTGTAGCCTCACAGGTCCAGAGCCAAGGTCATAAGAGAGATGTATGGCCCCATCCAGTATCTCCAGTGCAAAGAACTCCCTGCTGGATGATCCTCCATGGTTATACAGGAGCAGAGACTTCCTCTGTACTGTTGCAAACTCTAGAGAGATTAAATTTGTCCTGCGATCCAACGGGGGAAACTCCATGAAGGATAGCTCCTCAAAGCCATAACTGTGCTCCTCGCAATGGACTCCACTTACTCCTAAAATGAAACAGGCTGCTTGAATATTTTATCTCTGTCAGGTTGAAAAGTTTAAGGAATATTTCCTTAAATTAAAAATAATAATTAAAGCTGCAAATTACACATTTTCACCTTCTTGAGGAAAGTGGTAATATAACATCAGTAACAATATCATATTCTGTCAATTAAATGTAATGCCTTTAAGCTAACACCCCATTAGCTAAGTTTAACAAGTGCAAGAATGAACATTTTAAAAGGGGTTATGCTCCAGACTGTTTTTTCCTTTAATATGAGAAAATGGCCCACAATTTCAGACAGTTTCTCTTGGAAGAGTGTTCCACTCATGTATGCTTATGACAAGGGACAGATAACATATAGAGAACGAAAAAGAGAAACCTGGAAAAGTATCGTGGGAATCACAAATAATGATCCCCACAATAGCTTTCAATAAAGTTTCATGAGTTGGATTTTGTTGCTCTTTTACAAAGCCAGTGTCTTCGTCCTGTTCCAAGAGTCTGTGCTAAACTAACCTTACCAACTGCTAACTCTAGCAGGAAAGCAAATACTACAAATGTAAATGTTCCCATCTGATGAACTTTGACATTAAAGCTCCCTCTTTATGCATATTTCTTACCAAAGGGACATTGACAAGAGAATCCAGTCTGTGAATTGGTGCAGCTGCCCTCAACACAAGGGCCTGACCTACAGTGGTTTGTTGGCTGCTCACACATTTCTCCTGGAAAACAAAACAAAACTAGCCCAGTTTTTTAAGAAATTCTGAAAACTATTCATGCATAACGTTTTTAAATATTTAAAAGGCTACCCTCAAATCCAGGCACACAGCGACAGTGATATCCATCCTGCGTGGGAATACAAGTTCCACCGTTTTGGCACTTCACTTTCAGGCATTTGTCTTCATCAGGAGAGCAGAACAAGCCAGAGAAACCGCTCTGACAGTGACAGTAGAAACTTCCTGGAGTATTCACACATGTGCCTTTATTTTTGCAAGGATTTGCTTCACATTCATCAGTGTCCTCTTCACACAATTCCCCAGTGAAGCCAGATGGACATGTACAATTAAAAATCTCTTTCTGGGGTGACACAAAGATGACTGCTGAGCTTTCCAGGACAGCAACATCCCGGCTGATGTAAATGTTTTTGTTGCATGTTGCCCCGTTTTGACATGGGCTGGTGAGACATGGATCAGTTGTGATGCGAGTAATCTTCACATTGCTTTGAGCCTCCAGTAATCTCCTATGACCTACAGAGATACCACTGGCCACCTCTTTGCTAAGATATTGACCGTTGTAATTTTTCGCCGCTGCCAATAGAAGGATCTCACTGCCAAGATGCTTGATTCCAAATACATGAGTCTTAGAGGCCTGAAGGTTAAACAGACTGTCTAAAGCTTTCACAAAGCGCAAATACTTATTAGACATAAACTCTTCCATCGAGGATGATGACACATAAAATAGTATGCAGCTGTCTAAAGTAGCATTAGTGAAACCTTTGTAGTTTACATAGATGCTGTTGTTGACTGGGAAGTGAAGCTGATCTGTAGCCTCGATAGTGATGTTTAATGTAGCCTCACCTTGAAAAGGAGATGACATCAGCTCACATGTGCCGTTAGGTATTGTAAACATATTAAGTTGTCCACTTTTGATGGCGCAGTAGAATGTATCAGACTCATCCTGATCTTCAGGATGGACGTTACCGATCAGGCCTCCATGGAAAGCACTGCCAAAGTATTTCACCTCGATGAAGATATTTCTAGGCAGTGAAGGGTTATCGTTCTCATCCATGATCTTGATGTGGATCATTGTTGTTGATGAAAGTGGGGGGACCCCTGCATCTCTAACGGCCACCAGGACTCGATAGGAAGAGATTTGTTCCCGATCGATAGTCCGTGTGGTAAATAAAACTCCATCAGGAGTCAGGGAAAAAGCAGTACCCGTTGAAAGGTTAACCAACCAGTAAGTAAAAGGTCCCTGGTTTGGTGGCAAATCAGAATCAAATGCATTTAAAGTTGCAATTAATGTGCCTTGAGGTTGATTTTCCTTCACTTGAGCCTCAGTGAGTGTGAGTATGGGAGTGTTGTCGTTAACATCATCAATAGTGACAATCACATTAGTAGTTCCAGTGGATGGTGGAGAGCCATTATCAGTGGCTGTAACAGTCAGATTATAAACTGGCCACAGCTCTCTGTCAAGTGTAGAGTTTACTGAAATAACACCACTTGATGAATCAATGGCAAAAGAGAAGTTTGTGTTTCCATTTTCAATACTGAAGAAGAAACTATTCCAGTCCAAGATAGAGTCCTCATCTAGAGCACTCACAGTTATCACAGATGTCCCAACCGGGCTATCTTCTTCAACATTGGCCAAATAAAGTTCAGAGGTAAAAACTGGTGCATCGTTTGTGTCGATGACACTGATGTGGACCAAAGCCTCGTCTTCATCCATGCCAGTGATAACACCAGAGTTCTTCGCTAGAATTTTCAAAACTACGTGACTGTTGCCTTGTTTTCTCAAACTGCCAGTTGTGTATATTTCTCCAGATTGTTTGTTAATTTCAAAGCCCATATGTTTGTTTTGACCAAACATCAAGTAAAACACCTGACCTGCAGGGCCTTGGTCATAATCTGTAGCTGTTATTTTTCCAATTCTAGTTCCAAGGGCAGCATTTTTAAATACAGAAAAGTTATATTCTTTTTTTCTGAATATAGGTGTATACTCATTAACATCTGAGATGTGGATGACAACGTGTGCTAAACTAAATAAAGTATGACGACCATTGTTTAAAGCTTTGATTGTCAGATCAAACATTTGCTCTTGCTCATAATCAAATACATCCAAAGTGATGATTGTGCCATTATTTGAATCAATTGCAAATTTATCCACATGGCCAGCAATAAAAGAGTAGGCTATCTGCGCACCTGCATCAGCATCTGTTGTCTTCACAAATAGGACATTTGTTCCAATTTCAGAGTTTTCAGGCACTGATGTAATATACTCTGAGGATGAAAAGACTGGAGGATTGTCATTCACATCCATAACTACCACAGTAACATTTACCGTTCCAGTTTTAGAGACCCAGCCTCCATCCAGGGCTGTGATTTGGAGATAATAAATATTTTCTTTTTCAAAGTCAAGCTCTCTGATCAATTTTAACAGCCCAGATGCTTCTCCTACAGAGAACGGTAAATATTTATGGTCAGGGGTAATACAGTACATGATTGCTCCATTGGGACCATAATCCCCATCTTCTGCTAGAATTTTCCCAATTACCGATCCTGTCGGCAAGTCCTCAGGGACAGAGAAAATGACATCTGGCTCTCTAAAGCTTGGAGAAAATTGATTTCTCCCAGTAATTTCCAAAGTGATTTCACTATGTGATGACAAAGAAGGGAAGCCCTGATCTTTTGCAATAACTAATAAAGTGTAATACATATTTACACTCTCAACCAAAGAGTGATTTAACCTTACTTTTCCATTGTCCGCTTGGATCCAGAAGAAATCCGATGCATTACCTCCATCCAAAAAATATTCAATACCAATGCTGGTGTTACTGACATCCTGATCTATTGCTGTTAACTGGACCACCTCAGTACCAACAGCCATGTTATGCGGGATAGCAATAAGAGGCTTGAAAGCTAAAAACATTGGTGGGTAGGAGTTATATGGCTCTAATCTCACTGTGACTGTGGCAGTGCTGTACAGAGGAACACTGCCGCAATCCAAAGCAATAACTGTAAACTCATAGATTTCGAAAGCAGAATTATGTAACATCAATGGTTGCTTAGTATAGATCTCACCAGATGAAGCATTCACCCAAAACTGCTCATGTTCATGTTCTATAGCATATACGATCTCACAGTTCTGCCCCATGTCTGCATCTGTTGCAAAAACCTGCATAACAAACACCTCTTTAGCTTTTGTTTCAGTGAGTACAATGCTGTAAAAAGGATTAGAGAATACTGGTTCATTATCATTGACATCTACAATGATTATAGTGACTTCAGTGCTGATGCTCCATGCTGAATCATTTGCATTTACTTTCAAGATATAATGATCTTTCAACTCCCTGTCCATAAGTCTTCCAACAGTGATGAAGCCACTAGTGAAACCAATATTAAATGTCAAATCATCACTTTGGTCAATTATGGAGTAATAGATTACTGCATTGGCACCAGTATCATCATCGGCTGAGGTGACTTGTAAAATTGTGTGTCCAACTGGGGAATCCTCAATGACCTCGGTAAGAAAAATCTGTGAAAAGCGAGGTGCGTTGTCATTTCTGTCTAAAACAACAACGATAACAGTTACGGTGTCTTTGTGAAGAGGGGTGTTTAGCTCTGCAGCTTCAACTGTTAAATTAAATTCCGGGATATGTTCTCTGTCTAAACTTGCTGTGGTGCTCAATAAACCATTTTCAGGGTCAATTGTGAAAAAACCATCTGTGTTTCCTTCTGTTATATTGTACTGCACTGTGCCATAGCTGCCTGAATCAGCGTCAATGGCAAGAACATCACAGACCCAGGATGGTGGGGAGTTCTCAAAGACTTCACACCTGTACACTGCTTGGGTGAAGTGAGGGAAGTTATCATTTATATCACTGATGTTTATGGGAATTTCTGCAAATGATGAGAAAGGAGGCGAGCCAGAGTCTCGTGCTTCTACCAACAAAGTAAACTCCTTTTTGTTCTCATAATCCAGAGGGTTCTCCACAGTCAAAACTCCACTCGCTTGCTCGACATGAAACATGTCTTCTAAGTTTCCAGAAGCTAGATAAAAAAAGACAGGCTCAGCTCTGATGCTTGCTGCAGAGACAACTGCCACTAACGTTCCGACTGGCGTGTCCTCAGAGAGAAAACCGCTGATGACACTCACATTAATCTCTGGAAACTCAGAGGCATTCTGAAACCTGATGCTGATCGTAGTGACATCAAATTTAGGATTTTCTCCAGCATCTTCCACATGTACATTGACAACGATAGCTTCCGTTCTCCAGAGAGCACTGGAAGTGAATACAGTGCCGCTGTAGGGTTGGATGGAAAACAGATCTGAACTTTGTCCATATAACGAATAATGTAGTTCTGCGTTCATCTCAGTATCTTCATCAGTTGCTCTTAATGCACAAACAACTGAACCTGTAAGGGTAAAAAACATAAACAAAATAAAACTCAAGTCCATGTTATCCAGGGTGGAATAAATAACTGTCAAGTGGAAGTGAAAACTCTCACCTGGAGCCATCTCTGTGGGTACATAGGCCACATATGGGCTGTTCAAAAACTGGGGCCCGTGGTCGTTAATATCTCCGATGAGCACAGTAACCAGCACTGAGCTTGACATAGGCTGAGTAGGATGCTTGTCACTGCCAATCACCATCAACCTGTAAATGGCTACTGTCTCCCTGTCCAGGACTTTGGTTGTTAACAGCTCTCCAGATGTTTCTTCAATCGCGAAAGGCACATCAAGGTTTTCCATGGAATACCTTAAGATGTGTGAAAAGATGTTATAGTTTTCAAGGATTATGTATCGATCAATATATTGTATATAGAATCTAAGAACTTTTCCAGAGTATCTTATGCAGTATAATGAGTAAATACTCAAGAAAGACCAATGTGTCAGAAATGTTAATCCTAATGTTACGCTACTATTGTCAAGAAACATGATACCAAACAAGGTCACGGACAAAAATGTGTAACTTAAGCCTTCAATACCTAAGTATGTTGACTAGTATACACATTACTTATCAACATTGCTGTCTAAATTTGAGAGACAAATTTGACATTTCACCTTATTTCCCCATTGAGACCTTCATCAATGTCTGATGCTGTTATCATGGCAAACACGGTGCCTGTGGAGCAGCCCTCGGACACTATGGTGTTGTAGACTTCCTCCGAAAACTCTGGACTGTTATCATTGACATCATCCACTATGACGTGTAGAGTTAGTGTTCCTGTTAGAGGTGGTAATCCTTCAAATGACAAAGTAAATAAAGATTTGTCACACAGTTTGAAGTGAAACTGACAGAACAAACATATGATAAAGTTGATCACATTTATCGTTGGCCTTAATCACCTGAATCAACAGCAATGATGGTAACGGAGTACAAGGATTCCTTCTCTCTGTCCAGGCTGTGTACAATTTGAAACGTGCCATTGGGAATAACGGAGAAAAAACCGTCACTATTTCCTGTATGTATAAAATAGGTAAGCAGGCTGTTGATACCTAAATCTTCATCCAATGCCGAGATCTAGATAAAAAAATGACAACTAGAAGTTAGCATCAAAACATTATGTAGTCAACATTTAATGAAGTGTTCAGTTAACAAGAGCACCTGATGTGTCAGCTGAGAGGGTGCCTCCTCATTCTCCATTACATGTAAGGTTAGTGTTTGAGGAGTAAAGATAGGTGCAAAGTCGTTGACATCCAACACTGTGAGACTGATAGCAGCAGTAGAAGATCTGTATATGTCACCCTGATCTACAGCTGTTATGATCAGGGTGTAGTTTGAATTCCTCTCCCTGTCCAGTTTTTCCATGACTGTGATGACACCTCGAACAGAGTCCACAACAAACGGACTCGTCTGAGTCAATATGTACAGCACTTGTCCATTTATTCCAATGTCCCGATCGAGAGCCTGAACCTGAAACAGGCTGGTTCCTCTCGGGGCGTCCTCTCTGATTGTCAGGCTGAAGGTGCTTTGAGAGAACTTGGGGTCATGGTCATTAACATCTTCTACGTGCACCGTTATGTTCCCTGTGGTAGCCATCCTGGGTGACCCTTTATCAGTGACTGTAACAGTAATAGTCATTGTATCTACTTGTTCTCTGTCCAATGCCTCCTCCAGGTATATTTTTCCACTCCTGTTATCGATGCTAAATATGCCACTGGAAGTGTTGTTTAAATAATATAAAACTTCCCCATTTGATCCGGTGTCTTTATCCTCAGCATGCAGAGTCATTATAACAGAATGAAGTGCAGTGTCCTCTGGTATGCTGATTGTTTTGGCTGACATAAACGATGGAGCATTGTCATTGATATCACCAACCACCACAATAACATTTGCTGTGGTGGTGAACTGTAAATACACAGGCTGGACACAGTCATTGGCTGTCACAGTCAGATTGTAGAAGGGCTGTCTTTCTCTGTCTAACTCTGTTTTCAGGCACAAACTACCAGCTCTGTTTATGAAGAACATTCCTTCATCAGCTCCACCGGCCACTGTTAGTTTCAAGGCTCCATTGTCGCCTGGCAGAGAGGGAAAATAATCCATGATGAACACAAATTATGAAATGTCTTTAAAAATAAAATATTTATAAAGGAACAATTCCTGCACTTTGCACATGACGTACTGACATTATGACCTGTTCGCTGCTTCACATATACTGTATGCTAATACTAAACTGTTGTGCATTAGCAAAAACAAAGATACTAAGAAAATAAATTCAGTGGCAAATGTAAAACTAAAATGTGCCAACTACATTTTGGATTTTCAGCAAGACACAATACAATAAATAAATAACACAAAGATAAACAACATGTGTGATCATGTCTGGATTTGACTTGCCAAATGTGTCTCACTAAGAAATGTGTGAATAATAATCATGCTATTTCGCACTTAAAACCTGGAAGGTTTCATTTTCACAGTCTTACATGCTTTTCTGGACTTGCAGATTGGGCTGGGCAGGTCAATCCAATTAATAAGAAGACATTTTTTCATTGCAACCCTTTTTATTGCTATGATAAATTGAACGATGTAGATGTGGTTGATGCTAAGTAAAGAGAATATACAAATGCTGTCATACATGGCTAAACTTTGTATTTTACACCAATTAATTGCACAGATCTAAAATCCTCCATTTGCAGCAGCATGTGAAAAAAGGTGTATTTGTAGTCTATGAGCAATTGTGAAAAATAGACTTTAAAGTATTAATGTGTTGAAAAACTATTTCATCTAAGAACTGTAAAGTCAATTATTTTTGACTTTACCACAAGAGGCTTAAAAACAAACTTACTGATGAAAACTGATGAGGACAAACTGCAAAGTAATACAGTAAGAAAGAAAAGGTAAGGTGCCAGTACCAGTTACCAGCAGTGTGTGGATGCTACTTTGTGTGTGACATACTGTATGTTAAATTATTTTACATTTCACTTGCACTTACCATCATCTTTATCTGACACAATCAAGGCCAGGAAGCAAGTTCCAACCACTGTGTCTTCTAGCAGTAATGCAGAAAAGGTATCCTGGCTGAAAACAGGGGGGTTGGCATTCACATCCAGCACATTGAAGTACACCCTGACACTGGACACCTTAGAATCCCCCTGCTGCACCACCACAGTGAGTATGTAGAATCTTTGTGCTTCAAAATCCAGGCTGCGGGACAAAAGGAACTCCCCTGAGAACGGGTTGAGGAGGAACAGGTTCTCCCCGTCATCCTCCTGCACTGAGTATTTGATAGGCGTGAGAGCCTCAAACACTGTTCCCACCTTTCCCACAACTGTTCCTGTCAACACATAATGCACAATCACTGGGTGATCTAGTGACCGTAGAATACAAATAAAACATTGGTAACAGCATTGGCCAAACGAGAACAAACTACACTATCCTAAATATTAATAATGATGATAGTATTTATAATCATAAGTAAAATAACATGAATTAAAAGAATATCCTTTTCTACTCAAAATCAAATCAATGAACATCATGTATTTGATCAATAGGGAAAGGGGAGCATCTCTTCTTTGATTACTAACCTGGTACTGTGTTTTCTTTCACTTCAAATGAATAAACCGTTTTTGTGAAAGCCATCTGTGTTTGCCATCTGTTATGAGAGTTGGTCCCATGCTTCAGCACATCATGAATAGATGTGTTATACCAGGAGGGAAGTGTTTGCTGCCCTGAGATGATGTCTGCAAACTGTCTGCTTGCATTCACTGTATTTCCAGATGAAGGGTCATGTGAGGATGTAGTATTTAACACCTGATGAGCCATACAAAATAAGGAAATAACTTGTTTCTTGTGCGAGTGAAATATGCATTGACAAGCAAATGTCGAAGCATTCAAATGATACTTAATTGTCCCAGAGACAGATTTGTTTCCACAACCTATAGTACATATTCCACACATTTAATATAAAATTAAATAATTATGAAAATGATACACACAAGTCGACAACAGACGATATATATTACAATTAAAATAATGTTAACACTTTCTCAGAGTACAAACTAACACTTGAGACATAGTTAACTTTTTCTTTTAACTCAGAGCAGTGATAGTTGTTTAATCCCTTAGTGTTACTTTAACTCAGTTTTGAGAGTTAAAGAAGTAACTCTGGCATAGTGTTAAATATTTAACTAGTTTAAAAGTGTTAATGTAACTCTTCAGTGAGCAATATAAACTCTGTAAGAGTTAATTCAACAACTGACTTTTTGCTGTGTGCTGCAATATATAAGCTAACAGTCAAACTTACCAGAACATTTAAAAACAATAAAATGGAATATGTTATCCAGTGTCCAATGAAGTCCATTATAAAGTGTACTTCCCAAGTGCCTCTTACTTGCAAATTAGGTGAGAAAATGGGACCGCAAACAAAACAAAACAGAGTAAAGTACTGGAAACTACTCAGCATTACCTCCACACAGGACCAACTATTGGAAAACTATAAAAGATGTATCCATAGCGACTACTCGATCTTCTCAGCAACTAATCCTGACTGACACGCCCCTTTGACATCACTCTATGCAAATCCTGCAGTGGAGAAAAAAAAGCTCTTCTGGGGCTTCAAAATGAGGCAGATTGTATAGGTTTGTTGTTATATGTATTTTAAAAGAAAGCACGCCTTGTATTCAAGTCCACATGTTCTTGCTTTCTTTATGAAAAATGTATTGTGCAAAATAAAAGAAAAGAATACACTGCTATTGTTACGGTGTGCAGGAATCAGGACCCAAATGCAGATATAACGAAAATAACTCCTTTATTTCAAGGCTACAAATATACCATAAACAGAGACAGAACAGAACACTCACCGATGAACTGGTCATTACACAAGACAACCCGACAAAGAGAGACAGAAAACCCAGAACTTAAATACACCCAGGACTAATCACATAAACACGAGACAGGTGAGGAGGGAGGAGAAAACACAGAGGTACCAGGTGAACACAATCGGGTAATCGGGGAGGGAAACAGACAGAAAGCAAAGAGGCAGGAAACGGGGGTGAACACTTTACAAAATAAAACAGGAAACCCAAAGATAGAAAAAGACAAGAAAAACACCAACACAGACAGATCCTAACAGTACCCCCCCCTCAAGGGACGGATCCCAGACGTCCCAAAACAAAACAAAAAAAAGTCCAAAACCCCAAGCAGGGTGGGTGGAGGGGGTCCGGAGGAGGGACGCATCACTAAGCCACCAGGGTGGGTGGAGGGGGTCAGGAGGACGGGACTGAACTGACCGCCCAGGGGCACGGCAGAGGACCAGGAAGGGGTCTCGGGCGGACGGCCCGGGGGGCAAGGCAGAGTCCAAAAAGGGGAATTCGGGCGGACGGCCCGGGGGCAAGGCAGAGGACCAGGAAGGGGTATCGGGCGGACGGCCCGGGGGCAAGGCAGAGTCCAAAAAGGGGGACTCGGGCGGACGGCCCGGGGGCAAGACAGAGTCCAAGGTGAGGACCATGGAGGGGCGAAGGCAGCGGCAGGAAGAGTCAGGGGGCCGGGCCCGAGGGTGAAGGCAACGGCAGGAAGAGTCAGTGGACCGGGCCCGAGGGCGAGGACCGCGGCACTCAGGGGGCCGGGCTCGAGGGCGAAGACCGCGGCTCTCAGGGGGCCGGGCTCGAGGGCGAAGACCGCGACTCTCAGGGGACCGGGCTCGAGGGCGAAGACCGTGGCTCTCAGGAGGCCGGGCAGAACCCGGTGTCGACCGGACAGGAACCGGCGCTGGTGGGACAGGCCTCGGCAGGATCCCCCACGGAAGAGGACCAGGAGTTGGCAGGACCCCCGGCAGGAGGGCAGTCGGCGGGACCCCCAACGGGACAGGGCACAGGATTGGCAGGACCCCCGGCAGGAGCGCAGTCGGCGGGACCTCCAACGGGACAGGACATAGGGTTGGCAGAACCCCCGGCAGGAGGGCAGACGGCGGGACCCCCAACGGGATAGGACATGAGGTTGGCAGGACCCCTGGCAGAAGAGCAGTCTGCGGGACCTCCAACGGCACAGGACATGGGGTTGGCAGGACCCCCGGCAGAAGAATAGTCGGCGGGACCCCCAACGGGACAGGACATATGGTTGGCAGGACCCCCGGCAGAAGAGCAGTCTGCGGGACCTCCAATGGGACAAGGCATGGAGTTGGCAGGACCCCCGGCAGAAGAGCAGTCTGCGGGACCTCCAACGGAACAGGACATGGGGTTGGTAGGACCCCCGGCAGGTGAGTAATCAACGGGGCCTCCAACGAGACAGGACAAAGGGTTGGCAGGACCCCCGGCAGGAGAGTAGACGGCGGGACCTCCAACGGGACAGGACAAAGGGTTGGCAGGACCCCCGACAGAAGAGTAGTCGGCGAGGCCTCCAACGGCACAGGACAAAGGGTTGGCAGGACCCCCGGCAGGAGAGTAGTCGGCGGGGCCTCCAACGGGACAGGACAAAGGGTTGGCAGGACCCCCGGCAGGAGAGTAGTCGGCGGGACCTCCAATGGGACAGTACATGGATTGGTAGGACCCCCGGCAGAGGAGTAGTTGATGGGGCCTCCAACGGGACAGTACTTGGAGTTGGCAGGATCCCCAGTGGAACCTCCAACGGACCAGGACATTGGGTCGGGACTTGAGACGTGACTCAAGGGGGAACTCGAGAGGGGAACCAAGGGGGAACTCGAGAGGCGAACTAGAGAGGGGAACTAGAGAGGGGACTCGAGGAGGGACTAGTGGAGGGACTAGAGAAGGGACTAAAGGAGGGACTAAAGGAGGGACTAAAGGAGAGACTAGAGGAGGGAACTCGAGAGGGAACTGGAGAGGGGACTCGAGAGGGAACTGGAGATGGGACTCGAGAGGGAACTTGAGAGGGAACTGGAGATGGGACTAGAGAAGTGACCTGAGGAGGGACTAGGGAAAGGACTAGAGAAGGGAACTCGAGAGGGGACTCGAGAGGGGATCTAGAGAGGGGACTCGAGGAGGGACTAGAGGAGGGACTAAAGGAGGGGACTGGAGATGGGACTAGAGATGGGATTAGAGATGAGACAAGGGACTAGAGGAGGGACTTGAGATTGAACTCGAGAGGTGACTTGAGAGTGGACTCGATAGGGAACTCGAGAGGGGACTCGAGAGAGGGCTTGAGAGGGAACTCGAGAGGAGACTCGAGAGGGGACTCGAGAGGTAACTCGAGAGGTGACTCGAGAGGTGACTTGAGATGGGACTCGAGAGGAAACTTGAGAGTTGACTGGAGAGGTGACTTGAGAGGAATCTCGAGAGGGAACTCGAGAGGAGACTTGAGAGGTAACTCGAGCGGGGACTCGAGAGATGACTTGAGAGGGAACTCGAGAGGAGACTTGAGAGGGGACTCGAAAAGGGACTCGAGAGATGACTTGAGAGGGAACTCGAGAGGAGACTTGAGAGGGAACTCGAGAGGGAACTTGAGAGGGAACTCGAGAGGAGACTTGAGAGGGGACTCGAAAAGGGACTCGAGAGATGACTTGAGAGGGAACTCGAGAAGAGACTCGAGATGGGACCTGAGAGGAAACTCGAGAGGAGACTTGAGAGGGAACTCGAGAGGGAACTTGAGAGGGGACTCGAGAAGAGACTCGAGATGGGACCTGAGAGGGGACTTGAGAGGGGACTTGAGAGGGAACTTGAGAAGAGAATCGAGAGGGGACCTGAGAGGGAACTGGAGAGGAGACTTGAAGGGTGACTTGAGAGGTGACTCGAGAGGTAGCTCGAGAGGCAACTCGAGAGGGAACTGGAGAGGAGACTTGAGAGGGGACTTGAAAAGGAATTTGAGAGGGAAGTCGAGAGGGGACTTGAGAAGGGTCTTGAGAAGGAACTTGTGTCGGTCGGTACGCCAACAGGACACGGGGAGCTGGCGTCGGCTGGAGAGCCAGCAGGAGACGAGGTGCTGGAGTCGGCCGGTACGCCGACAAGACTCGGGGAGCTGGCGTCGGCTGGGGAGCCAGCAGGAGACGAGGTGCTGGAGTCGGCCGGTACACCGACAGGCCTCGGGGAGCTGGTGTTGGCCGGTACGCCAGTCCTGGAGCCAAAACTGGAGTCGGGACCATGGCTACTGGGGCCGGTACTGAAGCCAGAATCACGGCTGTAAGGTCCGGTTCAGGAGCCGGAAACATGGCTGTAAGGTCCGGTTCTGGAGCCGGAAACATGGCTGTAAGGTCCGGTTCTGGAGCCGGAAACATGGCTGTAAGGTCCGGTTCAGGAGCCGGAAACATGGCTGTAAGATCCGGTTCTGCAGCCGGAAACATGGCTGTAAGATCCGGTTCTGGAGCCGGAAACATGACTGTAAGGTCCGGTTCTGGAGCCGGAATTGTGGCCGCTCCGGCTGCTAGCCTGGCCTTGCGACGACTCCTCTTAGCAGCCGCCTGAATACTCCGTGGACCTCCATAAGCCAGACAACCCGACAAAGAGAGACAGAAAACCCAGAACTTAAATACACCCAGGACTAATCACATAAACACGAGACAGGTGAGGAGGGAGGAGAAAGCACAGAGGTACCAGGTGAACACAATCGGGTAATCGGGGAGGGAAACAGACAGAAAGCAAAGAGGCAGGAAACGGGAAACCCAAAGATAGAAAAAGACAAGAAAAACACCAACACAGACAGATCCTAACAGCTATGTTTTGCCAGATAAGCCAATTTAATATTCTCACTATGGATTTTTCTTTTGAGGTTCCGCAACATAGAGATAAAAAAAACAGAACAGTTGGTCTAGAGACGGAGCTTTTTTGTTGCATGTCAGAAGGGGAATTTATTCAGAGA